GGACATGGTGATGAGGCCGCCAGTCCGCGTAGCAAAGCGATAGGGTGAATAAGATCGCCAGTGGTGAGGGTAGACAAGGATGGTGAGAAACGTAAAGATAAACATCGAGCGGGCGCCGGCGGATGCGAACTGAACTGTAGGAAGCCGACCCGGGCAGTGCGAATGTGAATGACATTAGCTGAGGACTGTGTACACGTGTACGTAGTGCCGCATCTGATTTATACATTGTCCCAGCGGAAAATTACGACATTTGGCTCCTTTTGATGCTGTCCTGTCGTTGCACACTGTTAAAAATGTGATAAGCTCTTCTCGGTGATGATTTTGTCTCCTCAGTAAACGCCTAGAATCTCTGCACGATTCATGCACATTTTTGTGGACGCACAGTTTTTTTTTCTCATTCTAGTGACACATAATAGCAATGAGCGCAAGAGGCTGGCGCATTTCTAGCTTTTGAAGTAAAGTGGCCCAAGTCCGGGAGGAGACCTGTTTGTTGGCATATTTTGGGATATGTTACGTTATTTTCCAAGGCCCAGCCCCCACCCCCCAACTCATTTTGCAAAACTACGCCCCTGAATCACATGATACTTTTGAGAAGATCGAATTGATCAAGCTTCTTTTAAAATGTCCGAGTCCGGACCTTATCATTGTAAGGATTTCTGGGATCCAGCTCCCACGCTAAGGACCGCTCGTTTTCCTGAGGGTCATTCCTGAACCCTAAACCAGTCATCAATTCGCGAAGTTCTGAGCCAACGGCACAATTTTGCAGAGAAAAATTAACGCATCGCAATGCTCGTTGCAGTCCGTCCTACCCTCTGGCGTCACCTGAGTTTTAAGGCGTTGGCTGTTACTGTCCGCCGCCCATTCTAGTCCGGGGTGGAATAGTAAGCATCAAACGCGACTCGGAAACCACCCCACACTGCTATCTGAATCGGAACGCAGACCCTATAACGAAATAAGTTGGTAGGAGAAAACCGCGGTGGCTGTCTTAATAAATCAAGGGTGGAAACAATGTAATTGTGTTTTGCTTCGATCTAGGTACGTATGCCTTTGCTGTTGAACATATGCTGTCAACGGTTAGGCACTACCTCCGGGCGTTAGATGACCCGCCTTACTGGGAGGATCGAATAATCACACAGCACGAGCTTCGTTACAGATACAAGTGAACAGATGCGTATTGCAAACCATGCATGTATTGCCATAAATCAAACTGAGTTGTCACACGCGCTGCGCCACGTGCAGCCTGAAAAATTTCCGTTGTAACTCCTGCGCAATCCTTGTTCCAGATGGTTTCCGTCTGCTAATTCTCATTTTCACTGCGGGCAACTATCGACTAAAGAGCCGTTAACATGAGTGCTCCGCGCGTGCACTTACCCAACTACGCCGACGCCAAGTACACGGAGGCGTTGGGCCGGCTGCGGTTCCTGCTGCAGGAGTACGACAGCGGCAGCTACGGCGGCTCCGAGCCGGGCGCCGGCTCCAGCTCCGGCGGAGCGGCCGGCCGCGGCGGCGCCCGGGAGCCGGCTCCCGAAGCCGCCGTCCGCCAAGACCGGCGCGGCGCCTCCGAGCCGGACGTGGGGTTTCGGAGACCTGCCGCCCGGCGCCTCGCGCTTCCGCCGGGCGGCTGGCAGCAGGTGGTGCCAGACGTCGACCATCGGCGTGCCCATGTGGACATTGCTACGCTGGGTGTGACGGTGCAGGCGTCTGCTCGACCGCGGACGGTGCTGGAGCCGCCCCTGTCCCCGCCGCCAGCTCCGCCGCGTCTGTCAGTGCCACTGCCGGCTCCGGCTCCGGCTCCGGCGCTGGCTCCGCCCTCCCCGCGGCCCAGAACGGGGGCGGTGTCTCCCCTGCTGCCCGGCGCCGGGCGAGTTCCTCCGGCTCTGAGGGAAACGGAGGCGGCCGGCGCGGGCACCAGCACCAGCCAACTAGTCATCGCTGACGGCAGCAAGGTAAGAAGGCCACCTAGAGCAGACCATTACTGACCACGGCTCCAAAGTCTCGCTGTGGCTAAAGATAACGTTTGGGCTTGGTTTGGATAACAGCTCTTTTTGGTTACTTGTTTCGGCGCTGTTGCCAGGAACATAATAGTTAAGATGTTGATCGTTTGACAGCAGTTTCTTCGTAATTATGTAAAAAGGAAGGTTTAAGTCAACTTAAATATAATGTTAACTACTGGTCTCTTTCAAACATATAAAAGTACTGTAGTCAACAGTATAGGAGATGCTTCCAAACGCATTTGAATATTTGCACTATCACATCCTGAAACATCTTTCAGACCTCACTAAGCCAAGTAACGTATTTTGAACAGGTATGCGAACACCTATTTTAACATATAGAATACACCGCAAACACTGACATGGTGAAAATAGCACAACAGATGCAGTTCAACACAGGTAGCGTCGACGTGACGGAAAGGACGGAAGACAGTTACAAAACATGCCACGACGCTGAGTTCCTGTTCAACTCTGGACTTGGGAAGTCCAGAGTTGTCCACTGACCACTGACTGACCGCGGATAAGTGACTCTGAAACTTTGCGGTCAGGGAGATCTGTGTTTGACAGGCGATGTTCACTTCCAGAGCCAGCTCATCTATCCATGAGAAACAGAGATCACTATGCTGTTCCGTAAAATGTGGGTCATTTTAGGGAATGGCATGGTAGCGACTTTGACGGTCAAGCACATTCAAAGCACCCATGTCATGTGTCATTCTTGATCAGTCAGTAGGTCAGTTGCTCAGTCTGACCTCTAGCGGTGGGCTCTGTTCGTCCCTGACCTTCGAACCCGGTGCTGCTGCTGCCTCCTCCTGACCTCCAAGCCTAGGGCTGCCTGTTGCCTCCGACTGACCTCCAAGCTTAGGGCTGTCTGTTGCCTCCGACTGACCTCCAAGCCTTGGGCTACCTGTTGCCTCCGACTGACCTCCAAGCCTTGGGCTACCTGTTGCCTCCGACTGACCTCCAAGCCCACGGCCACCTGTTGCCTCTGACTGACCTCCAAGCCTAGGGATACATGTCACCTCCGAATGGCCTCTAAGCCTAGGGCTACATGCTGCCTCCGACCGACCTCCAAGCCTTGGGCTACCCGTTGCCCCCGACTGACCTCCAAACCTACGGCTACCTGTTGCCTCCGCGCAACATGCCGAGTGCTGGCGGCCGCTGTCGGCAGGAGCGCCAGCTGGGGCAGCTGGCCCGCAGTCAGGAGCAGCTGGTCGACCAGCTGCAGCACGAGAACCAGCTGCTGAGGGACATGATGGACGAGATGCAGCAGCAGGTGCAGGAGCTGGTCTTCGAGAACAGGACACTGGCCGAAGAGCGCAGGTCCGTGTCAGCTGGGAAGGGGAAGGGGAGGTGGCGGTTGCCATCGGGCAGAGATGCAGACGTGCCGATTGGCCAGAGGGTGTGACCTCACCAGGGTCCCCACAGGCCACGGACAAACTTGGGCGTGGTTGAGTGGGTTGCTGAAGGCCTATGGGGTGTTGTGGCCTTGTTAGTCGATTGATACCTATATGGTGGCTGCTGCGTGCGCTTGGCCAGAAAGGGAGGGGTGCCCCCCGTTCGGAAATGGGGGTCCCTGACTGACTCAAGACTCTTTCGTTGTCTCAAAGTAGACTTTATCCTAAGTTCTCATGTCTACTTTCACTGCGAGAGGGCCCTGACCAAACGCAATAGACCCTCTGGCATTTGGGGTCCCGTCCCCGTCCCTCCTCAGAAAATGCTTCCCTGACCGACTCAGGGCCGTTTGAGAGGTGAGGCACCTTTATTACGCGCTGTGGGCCCCTGGTCGACGCAGAGGCCGTCATGGTTTCAATGGCTTCGACAAATGTACACCACGAGTCTCGGCCATGCTAATTACTGGGAAATGGCATTCAGGTCTCTCAGACCGACACTGAGCCGACTGCTCGTTATTGGTGGTCTGTAGGTGAAATGTAGGCCCGCATTGTTCAAGGAGCCCCCAATCATTACAAGAGGCCCTCTGACTGATATTTGAGTGCTCGGTCCTGTGGGCCGAGGCCCTTAGTGTGGTCTGTAGCTCCTCCCCCCCCTTGGGCCTTCCAACTAGCGCTTGATTGTCGTTCCACTCGAACACCGCCTCTGGCCGAAACACAGTTAGGCACTGTCGTCCCCCGACCGGCAAAAAGTCTCTCAGTGGCTCAGTGACCCGACCAATGTAAATCGCGCGCCTGGGCCTTATCCCTACTTTGAAAACTGGCTCACAGGCCAAGACCACCACAGAGCAGACTGTTCGGTACAGGTGATACCTGACGGATGCAAAGGCACACATCAATTAAGGAGGCCACTGGTCGGCGCAAAGAACCCTCTGATTGGCATTTGAAGGTTTGGCCCTACGATCCTGGCCCGTTAATACAGCCTTCGAGCACCCATCTCGGCCCTTGATCATCAGTCCCGAGGCGCCATTCGGGACCCTCGGAACCTAGGGGGATGGCTATGTGTCCCAACCTCTTTGTCTGCTTCACTGCTCTCAAAAATCCTCGTTGAGTGTTTAAGCCACACGCTCTGATCCTGAATGTATAGGTCGGAGTGTCAATCGCCCCATGTCCGCTGTCAGATGATGATGTCAGATGTCAGATATTAGTCAGACGATGTTCGCCACCTTGGCGAGCGCCGGCCGCTGTCCGCTGTCCGAGGTCGGTCTGCTCCTGTCCACCGTCTGGCTGTCCACCGCCCGCCGAGTAAGCGTCGGCCGGCTGCCGTCGTCGGCAGGACGCAGACCCGGCTGGCCGCTGCCGTCGGGCCGAGCGGCTCGCCTCGCGCTCCGGCCGCTCCCACCGGCGGTGACGCGCCGGCGCCCGGCGCCCGCCCGCCCCGGCCGCAGCCGGAGCCGCAGCCGGAGCCGGAGCCGGCAACGGAGCCGGAGCCGGAGCCAGCAGCGGAGCCGGCGGAGCTGGAGCGGTGCCGAGCCGAGGCGGCCCGGCTGGCGGCGGTGGTGCGCGAGCACGAGCAGTGGCGGGCCGGGCCGTACCAGCAGCAGCAGCAGCGCCAGCTGGCCGAGCGGCAGCAGCTGACCGAGGCCCTCGGCACGCTGCAGGTCAGTTCAGGCGGTGAGACAGACCGCAGGTCAGATCAGGCGGTCAAACAGACTGCAGGTCAGGTCAGGCGGCCAGACAGACTGCAAATCAGTTCAGACGGTCAGACAGGCCGCAGGTCAGGTCAGGTGGTAAGACAGGCTGCGGATCAGGTCAGGCGGTCAGACAGACTGCAGGTCAGATCAGGCGGCCAGGCAGACTGCAGGTTGGGTCAAACGGTCAGACAGAGTGCAAGTCAGGTCAGGCGGCTAGACAAACTGTTGGCCAGTTCAGACGGTCAGACAGACTGCAGGTCAGGTCAGGCAGAGTGCAAGGTCAGCACAGACGCGTACGGCGTCACTGCAACACCGAGACACTGAAACACGGGCCACACTGACACTGTGTACAGATCCGCACAACGGCAATATCGGTCAGGTCATTGCATTGACATAGTAACTTTCAGAGGGCTTACTTTAAGGCTGTACGTGCGGCTTTCTCAAGGGCCGACGGTTGTATATCCCTTTGTGGTTAATGGAAGCTTTCCCCGACGTGTGCTGATAACGCCCGGTGAGCTCCTTCTTCAGCACCTGCCGTCATGTTTGCTGCGTGATGACGACTGGAGCGTGGTCCCGCGAATGACAAAGTCAAAAAGTGCCGATTGCTTGCCAAACCACGTCAGAGATCTGCAGAGATGGGAGTGGGGTGCTTCATGTGGTGTTTGATGCTGGCGTGCCTGTTGCGAGCAGAGCCGAGTCAGTGAGCTGCAGAGACGGGAGGAGGATGCGTTGGAGAAGGTGTCGCAGAGCGTGCGGCTGTCGGAGCAGGCTCAGCTGGAGAAGGCTGAGGCTGAGCACGCGGCAGAGGTGCTCAGAAGGTGCGCCACCGAGAGGGGACAACGCCACATCTCAAAGTGGTGCCGCGCTCGCATGGCGGTAACGCACAAACACCTCTGTGTTTAAGTCTTTCATCTCTTGATGGCGTGTATGGAACAGAATGCATCAGCATTTTCTCCCACGCACCAACACTACAACGCATTTAAAAGAGTCTCAGGCACAGTTTGCCAGCCTTTGTCGGTTTGGTGTTCCGAAGTACTGTGCACAGCTTTAGTGTTTATACATGGCCGGCCTGGTGACTGACTGTTGGCTCCTTGCGTGCATCCGCAGGGAGCAGGCGAGTCAGCAGGAGCGGCAGGAGCGCCTGATCGCAGACCAGGAGCGCAGGGTGGCGGCGGCCCGGGAGGAGGCCGAGCGCTCTGTGCAGGCCAGCTTCGACCGGCTGCGGGCCCAGCTGGCGGAGCTCACCGAAAAACAGGGCCAGGTCAGCCAGCCGTCCGTACCCCGCTCTGGGTCAGGTCACTGCCGGCCCGTGCTGACCCAGGTCAGGCGGCTCCATCCGCTGTCCGATGGTCCGATGCAGACATGACGACACCGACACCGCTGGTGCCGTCCGCTGGCAGCTGGAGGCGGAGCGACAGCAGTGGCAGCGTCTGGAGCAGGAGCTGCGCGGCGCCGTCCAGGCGCAGCAGCAGGTCACCGATGAGGCCAGGCTCGACGCCGAGCGCGCCGCCGCGCGGCAGCAGCAGGAACTAGCGCAGGAGCAGCGGCGACGCGTGAATGTAAGTCGCAGAGGAAGTACTGTGGAAAGACAGCTTTACCGTTCCAAAGACCTCTGACCAGGGATGAGTTGTTTGTGTAAACTAACACCAGTAAATTGGTCAGTAAGAAATACCCACAATACCGTCGTAATGTACCCATCATGGTAATTCGGCTCACTCAGAGCAAGGCAAAGCAAAACAAAAATCACTCGTAATTTCGAAGACATTTGGTGATTCGTAGTTGCACACAGGGTGTCATTTCCTAAACTCGGTTGGTTGGGGAGGCGTGTAGCCAATAAGGTTGCCCTAGCTTACTCCCAAAGCCCGTTCCCAACCCCACGCCCCATTTCGGCCGCATCCAGCCATTTACTTCCGCAATATGAAAACGAAACAAAAACGCTTGAATTTTTTTCGTCGTTTCCAAAATTCTTCCACGCAAAAAGTTTGGGTTTGATCTTTCAACAAACATTCGGTTTCATTCTGTATTAAAAAGAGAACACTGCTCTGCTTTGCTGCCACTGTGTGGCCCGGTCGTGCAGCGATTAGCTGCTGTACCAAATGGTAACTCGGTGATTGGTTGCCCCACCAGATTTCCATGAATTGGTTGGTTGAGTGCCTGCTCTCGCCATAAACGGCGGAAATTTTACCGTGTTGCGGTTGGTCACCTTGGATCGTGTCTGGCCAATAGGCAGAGGCGCAGCTGGAGACCGTGAAGTCGGCGGCAGAGCGGGCCGAACAGGAGAGACGAGGAGAGGCGGAGACGCTGCAGGCTGAGCGGGCGTCTCTCCGCAAACAGCTGGCCTCGGCGGAGAGCGCGCTCAGCACCGCCCACCGGGACAGGGTCCAGCTGCAGGAGCAGGTGAGCGACTCCCACCGACACAGGGCTTAGCTGCAGGAGCAGGTGAGCGACTCCCACTGGGACAGGGGCCAGCTGCAGGAGCAGGTGAGCGACTCCCACCGGGACAGGGTCCAGCTGCAGGAGCAGGTGAGCGACTCCCACCGGGACAGGGTCCAGCTGCAGGAGCAGGTGAGCGACTCCCACCGACACAGGGTCCAGCTGCAGGAGCAGGTGAGCGACTCCACCAGGACAGGGTTCAGCTAGAGGAGTAGGTGAGCGACTCCCGCGGTCCAGCTACGGGCAGGAGCAGGTGGGCGACTCCCACTGGGACAGGGTCCAGCTGCAGGAGCGGGTGGCGACTCTCACCGGACAGGGTCCAGCTGCAGGAGCAGGTTAGCAGCTTAAGATGACGTAGCGTGGCCTCACCCAAAGGCGGAGCCGACGCCCGTGTCCGCTTTGGAACCGTCGGCATGAGTGATTTTGTGTCTCCGATATCTTTTGATATGTTGCAAGGCTGTTGATCTGGCAGCACACATAATTTTGCTTCCGAGCCCCCGACAATGATCCGCTGACAGTTGGCGATACTATTGTCCAAGGAGGGGTTGGCAGGCCACGCGGGCGCACCACACCCCGAAAACTTGGCCACTCTGACGAAGGACATCACGAACACACGTACAGAACGGGGCGACACATAATGTTTGTTCGCCGCGAAAAGTTGATGTTTGATGTGAGAACACAACGCCATGTGTTGGGTGGTTTGATCATTGCGCCAGCTTGCAAGCACACCGTATCCCCAACGACTTCCTTCGGGTCGTAGTGATCTGATTGCAGGCATTTGGAGTAGTTGGGATGGTGAGCCATTAGATGGGTTCATCGATCTATTTATCCATCGGTTCCAACCGTCGCAAGTCTTCCTCTCGGCAGTTGCACGACTGGTTTGGCTGGGGTCCAACCGCTGTCCAGTTGCGTCCAAACCGTGTCGTGGTTCTCCTCATGCGACAGGGTGACCTCGTTGTATTCGGTGGTCACATCTCGGTTGGACCACCCCACACACACCGGCGAGCTGCCGCACACAACGCCGACAGAGAGAGACTCCCCCCACGCGCCCGAGCAGCACCTCTTGTACTCGTTCCAAGGCTCGTTCCCGCAACACGATCTGCGAGCGACTGGCCGGCGCCACCGTGACGCACCGCCCCGAGCCGTGATTGTTCTCACCCAGACATGAGTCATCGCCCCACTCGCCTTACATGCTGACACACGGCCCCGGGGCATGGTCCACCGCTACACTCGTTCAGCAGCTCTGAGGCTGTAGGGGACCGCAACACCAGCCCGCCACAGCATCTACTCGGGGCGCACGAGTGCTGCAGCCCTGTATCACTTCTAATTCACAGCTTGACGAGGTTTGGCGAGCATTCCTCAGCGATCCAGGGCATACTCACGCTCCAGTGCTGGCCCATGGCCCGGTGGTGCTGTTTGGCGAAGTCGGTCGGCAACCCTCAGCGTGGTCTGCCCTCGCCCCTCAGGTGAACATGCTGGAGCGGCGGACGTCCGGCGAGCAGCTGGACCGGCAGGCGGCCGAGCGCGGTCGCGTCGACGACGTCAAGACGCTGACGCAGCAGCTGGAGACGCGGGAGCAGCAGCTGCTGAAGGCCGTGGCGCAGGTCCGCGCCCAGAGCGACACCCGCGCCGAGCAGCTGGAGACGATGCTGGAGTCGCAGGTCAGGTGACGACTAAGCCTCTGAACGGGCCGTGGAAAGACTGTTCTGTTATTTCCACGAGATTGTGTTTTGTCACCCGGTGTAGATGCCGTAAGATGACCGATTCGCTTAGTTCCGCGCAGACTAACACCGTTTTAGGTAGCAGTGCCCACCTCGGCTTCTGAAGTGTTCCTCCCTCCGTACTCCGAAAATCGGTCGCATCAGCAGTGAATGCCCTTGATTCAGCAGCAGCCGCCGTGCTGTGAGGTGCTTCGAGATTGGTGCGAGGTGCTTCGTTTGGGATTGTGTGCACCGCGCACTTTACTTTCTCATTGTGGAACTATGCTTTAGATATTTTAACCAGCTGCTAGCTTAACTGACAAGCTGCCTCCATCTAGTATTTTCGCTATCTCACCCACGACGACAAAAAAAATGGGAAGCTAGTGTAGTCTTGTCATGTGCTTGTTTATAAGCGGGCTTCCTAGTTTAGTCAATATGCTTAACTTTCAGCAGCGTGTCGCTAAATTCGCCTCACGAGGAAAACACCAAACTCTGCGTGACGTGCGGTCTCGGATGCACGCGTTTATTGTGCACGCTCCGCAGGTTTGGGATGCTGCACGGATGTTGCACGGATACTGTTTAGGATGCTGCACGGATGTTGCACGGATACTGTTTGGCATGTTGATGTTGGATGACACCGTGCACGAAATTTCAGTGCGGGCTTTCCATCAAAATAAGTTTATTTTACGAGTTCACATTCCGTGCAGCGCAGCACTCAGCTTGAGCCAGCTTCAGCGAGCCAGCTGACTGTCGCACGTCTCCCCGCCAGGCGGCGCTAGTGGAGCGACTGGAGGCGGAGTGCGCAACGCTCGCCGCGCAGCTGGCAGCTGCCGAGAGCAGCCGGCAGCAGCTGGCCGAGAGCAGCAGCCAGCTGGAGCGGCGGCTGGCCGAGACGGAGGCGGCGCGGCGACGGCTTGAGTCGCGCTGCTACCAGTACGGCCGGCAGCACGAGCAGCTGCTGCTGCGGGCCGAGGGCACCGAGCGCCAGCTGCGCCTCAGCGCCGCCGCCGCCACCCAGCTGGCCGACCAGCAGCAGCTGCTGGTGGACGAGAGGCGCCAGCTGCGCAGCCAGCTGACGCTCGGCAGCTCGAGGACATGAGCCAGGAACGGCGGACGCTGGCCGGCCCTGGAACCCGAGGTCCTGGCAGGGGGGATGGCGACGACGCCGGGCATCTACGCTACAGACTACCAAACGTCACCGGCGCACTGGTGGCTTGCGTGAGTCAACTGCGCCCCTCTGCGAGTGTCGTATGCCACATGAGACCGTGGGTTTGATGGATTGACCCTAGTGCATGCCAAGTGTCCGACTCGTCAACCTGCATCGCGCGTTGGCCATAAGGGCTTCCAAGCCCAAATCGCGGACATATTCTTGCCGTTCCATTAGTTTCACAAGGTTACTCAATGCCATAATTACATGATGAACTATGCAATGAAGTCTATCCACAACGGGTGTTACGAGTAGGTCAGTGTCTAGGCTGAACAGGGTTTGTTGCAATGCTTCGAGACAACGTAATCGACTGTGGCCACCGGTGAGTTTCTGGATGTGATGTGTTTTGATGACGGTGAGACAGCGCTGACTGCCATATCCTGTTCCGCATCGGGCTGGCTCTCTACTGTGCCATGAAACACGCCCAACGTGTGCAATTCATTGATCACCAACTGCCGACAGAAATACAAGCGAGGCCAAGGGTGGATATTAGTGATATGGGCTCAGGGACGCGTCGGGCACAGTGGCTGAGGGCTTGTTGTTGACTGGGGTTTCAGGGCGCGCCGACTTCGCAATGGTTGAGCACGGCGGACATTTGAGTATTCAGGTATTATCCAGACACAACGCATCCAATATGCGTTTCAGAAGATAAAACACTACTCTGTCCGTCATATGAGCACATGAAGTAATACATCCTCCAACAACACGGCGAACAGTGTCTATGTGACAGGGCATGAAGTGACAACTGATCAGACCTCTCATAGTTCCTCGGAATAGACGCGTTGCACCATATCACCGAAGCACGCGGGTGTAAAACTGGCACTCTCACAAGCCTGTGTTCGGGTGCGCTCGCTCATGTTCACACATATTCAGGCCGCACGTCACTTGTAACATGCACAGGGGGTCTGTGACAGTGAGAGCCAACCGACCGATTACCTGCGGCCCTGCCCATCAGGCCAGCACGGCTCGCGAGCGGCCCACACCCAGCCGTCCTCGGTCGGTCAGTGTCCCAGTGGTGGCGGATCAGGCGGGTCCCTCCTCCAGCGATGGTGGCAGATCAGGCCGGTCCCTCCTCCAGCGATGGTGACGGCTCAGGCCGGTCCCTCCTCCAGCGATGGTGGCAGATCAGGCCGGTCCCTCCTCCAGCGATGGTGACGGCCCAGGCTGGTCCCTCCTCCGGCGATGGTGGCAGCTCGGGCCGGTCCCTCCTCCAGCGAAGGTGGCAGATCAGGCCGGTCCCTCCTCCAGCGATGGTGACGGCTCAGGCCGGTCCCTCCTCCAGCGATGGTGACGGCTCAGACCAGTCCCTCCTAGAATCCACTACCGAAGCCCGCCCCAGCGCTCAGCGGCGGTTGACAGCTCAGCGGACAGCCAGCCTCCAACCTGTCCCAGACGATGCCACCTCCTCCGGCGAAGCTCGCGTGTTTCGCCGCGCACGCCCACTGGAACAGCGTTCAGTCATATTACGACCCCACGTTGGAGAGCGCGTGGTGACAGTGCGCCATCACGTTAAGCACAACGCTTCGCCTTTACGCACAGCGCGCTACATTACGTATCAAGGGTCCATGGTGACGATATTGTTTTCAATGGTCCGTCTTTACTTTGGAGTCTTCAAGATACGACCTGCTCCGCCACTCAGTTTATCTTAACACGCGATTTAGTGAAAAGCAAAGTGGACGAAATGAGATGGCTGAAATTTGAGAAGCATTCGTTCCAAGGGTTCATCACAAATCTGTCGAGTCCTTCATTCCACACCTTCCTGAACAGACAGAGACACGACTGGCGACGGCCCGCCGTCGCAGCATGCCCGCAAAGCCAGCTGGATGGTGGTGGCGTTTCCGACGTCTGCAGGCCGGTCCCCGCTCAGTGGACGGCGGCCCAATTGCGCGGCCGGGCCGGCGCGGCACCCCTGAAACTCCAGACACACAGGGACAGCGGCCACTGTTGGGCTTCGGCTGTGTTTGCAGGGGCGTGGCCGATCAGGCCAGACCCGCCGGCTTGTCTGCCAGGCGAAACGCCGTTGATCGAGCCGCTGTTGCTTTCTGCGAGGTGTTGATTTCACACCTATCAAACTCACCAACCTAAACAGCTCGGAGCCCTTCCCCGCCCCGTTGCCCCCCCCCCCGCCCGTTGTTCTCGGAAGAGCTGCTCCCATAATTCCGCTAGTTTCGCCAACGCACCGTTGACAAGAACTGCTACGTTAAATGGTGCCTGGGCAACTTAGAGGTGAATCATTCTCAGCGCATCTCGGAGAAGCCTCTCGCCCCTGGATTATGTGCGAGGCCAGCGGGCCTGTTCTGGCCGCGCACTACAATTGCATGGCGGACTGGAGAGTTGCAGTTCTGTGGCAGCCTTGTCCCTGGGCTGTGAAAGAAATGTGCGTGTCTGACAGTCACCGACAGGAAGTCGTACCGGGTGTTGCTTGGCCACGTTGTAACTGTGACGCCTACCCGACTGAGGGAGATCTCTTTCTTTGCCGCCACAAAGCAGAGTTGAAGCAAAGCATGGCATCAGCAGTTGATAACTGCTCCATCCAAAGCGGAAATGCAGGATCTCGTGAGCCCCTTGTAGAGAGTACCAGCAAGTCTGCAATACTTCCAATTGCAGAGCCATTTTTAGGTAACAGCTACATCCGAACAGAAAGTGGGGTCCACGAGGACCCTTGTAGAGGGCGCCAGCAAGCTTGCAGCGTTCTCGATTGTAAAGCCATGCCTGCAGCGTTCTCGATTGTAAAGCCATGCCTGCAGCGCTCTCGATTGTAAAGTCAAGCCTGCAGCACTCTCGATTGTAAAGCCATGCCTGCAGCGCTCTCGATTGTGAAGTCAAGCCTGCAGCACTCTCGATTGTAAAGCCGTGCCTGCAGCGCTCTCGATTGTATAGCCATTTTCCGATGAGTATGCTACAAAAGCGATGGATTCAGACATGTCTCGGCTGATGTCACAAACGTTCCGGGAGCCAACCTGGACAAGTCCTACGATGAGTTAGTGAGTCAGGGCTCCAGTAAGTTGCTCAGGTGCAGCACGAGCACCAAACGGCGAAACGCAGCAGAGGTGAACACCAGAGACCAATCCGAATCAAGCGTGTGGTTCCGACTGAGTCCTGGCAGAGTGGCAGCATCGCGATTGAAGACTGCGTGTTGCACCGGTGCTGCATCACCTTCGCTAAGCCTGATGACGGCGGCGTTCTATCCTGGGTCGCGAAAGTCCAAAAGCAGGGCGACAGCCTGGCGTTGCAAACATGAAGAGATGCGACTCCGCGCTTTTAAAGCTCTAAAAGACAAGTCGCGTCACGGATCTCTGGTGGCGTCAGGTCGCCTCGCGGACCTCCGGTGGCGTCGGATCGCTCTCGCAGCCGGGCGGCCGACAGTGTTCCGGACCTGAGCCTCGTGGTGACGTGACATGGCGCTATAGTCGCTGGTGAACGCGACCTGACGGGGAGGCCTTCTCCCCGTAACTTGACCCGTGGACAGCGACATCGATCGGACCTCACACCCGCACACGTGACGTCACCGATCGGCCCATGTGACGTCACTGGTCGGCCACAGCGGATACGACAGCCCCGGACTCGGACAGCGCGCAGGAGACGCCTTTCGCCGACGCTACACCTGGCACGGACGGCGGGCGGGGCAAACGTTGAAGACGACGGGTCTCTGTCTCCGAAATGGCGCGCCACCGGTCGCACCGCCGGGCGGCCGGCTCCCTCTCGCCGGGCAGGGCCGGGAGCGCTTACGCGCCGGAGGCGGTGCAGCCATCCGAGCCGGCTGGAAGGGCAGAGCTGGGTACGGCGTCCGTCAGTCGTTCAGCAGCTGATCCAGCATGGCAAAGGCTGAGCTGCTGTTTGACAAAAGTCTGAACATCTCGAAAAGAGGATCTTAATTCTAGAGTGTGGTGTATTGAGACCAGGCAGCGATCTGGAAACGCTAAATTACGAACTCGAAACATAGATAACGATAAACCGTGAGCTGCAGCAACAAATCCAAAACAGACATGGACAGTAGATTATCAACGCTCACTCTGACCTGTGCAGAATTTGAAGCACGAAATCTAAGAGAAGACATTGCGGAATAAGTCATCGCCTTGTTAAATCGCCCTTACCTCGGTGGCACCGACCCGTATGGAATTTCACTGACGAGTCAGAAAACTGCCAAAAACCTTGTCCTGCATTGACATATGTGCACATAGACATGCACTTGCTATTTTCGTCCAGCAGGTACACCAAAGATCAGCTCATGGATTATGAAAATCTTGATTGCTTTTGGAAGTTCACTAGTCGATGGGTGTAGGCAGAGCATGTCAAGAGTTGCAGCAGATAGATGTGCTCTGATTGTCAATGTATGCTGGTAAGGAAATGCTGATATGGCAGAAGAGTTGCAACACATTGTGTCTGAATGCCAACATTCAAAGTATTAGTTCTCCATGAATACCATTCTCTCTGTGTTGACAACATCCGCAAGCTGATGCCGTGAAGAACAAGGAGCACACCAGGGAGCAAGCCACAGGGAGCAAGCCAGAGCAAGCAAGCCAGCAATCATAGCGGACCACAACCATCGGCAAAATACATGATAAAAATTGAAAACACTGGAAACGCAAATGTGCAATGTTCCAGCCGACAAAAATGGCGCGAACAGCCACCCGATTCAGAGACACAAACATCTCCGATGACTAACGCACACAATCTGAATAACATCCAGGTGTCTTCGTGCAAATGACGCATGGCGATAACCGAGGGTTGCGTCGTCGCCGGTGCGTTTACAGGTTGCAATGCACTAGATGTACATTGCTAAGGCATCAATGGCTGGTCAGCAGAATATTCCGGGCATCACATCTTGAGCGTGCTTGTAGCCGGTAATGTAGCTTTTTCAGACAACTGCCGGCACAGGGCAAGTACCGTAAGGTGACAGCAAAGTACAGAAAGATACGCGGCCATGACAGCCGGAGCGGTAGCAACCGGAAAACCATGGAAGACATGGACCTGCTCGATGAACTACGAGACAGCCGGCCGGCCATACGGCCAGGACATGGACCTGGCTGAGGCCTGTCTGGCCATCGCTGTCCCTACGCCCGAACGGGAGGACGCGTTCTGTAAGAAACCACACGCGAATCTTTACGCATCGTAAAGGACAACCTCATATGGCAGAAGAACTAGAATACATTGTGTCTAAATAGATACATAGTATTTAATGCATTATTTCTCCACGTATACCTTCCTCCTTTCTCTGTGTTGGCAGGTTTCGCAAGTGGTCTCGAAAAAGTCAGTGAGCAAGCCGCAGCAAGTAAGTCAGCAATCGTAGCGGACCACCACCTCCCCCACTGACCGGGCTGCCTTCTAGGCAGCTCACCCGATGCCGCCCCGCGGGAGGTGGAAGCGTTTGCTGTGGCTTTCGCCGCTAACGCTAACGCCCCGACGGCCGAGCCCATCCAGCCTCTTCTGACGTAGCCTCTGGACCCCATGGGAAAGACAAACTCGGCGACCACAGCGTGTCAGATGAGAGTCACAGTGAGACCAGGGGCATCGCCCTCGGATTCCCGTCACAAACGGCTAGAGGGCACCTCACCCCGGAGCACCATCCAGACTTTGACCACGACGGACGGCCCTTGCCTCTCCTGGAGTGTCTTGAACAAAGTCAGCAGTTTGAAGCACGAGTTCTCCGACGCCTGGCACTGTCTGTGTGAGTGCGAGCGGTATTTTCCCCAAAGGCGTTGCGCGCTGCGGAATCACTACTGTGATTGCCTTCTTGACAGCGTCTCTTGTTTCTGCTTTACCTCTGGCTTCTGCCACAAACGTGGCTGCGACCTGGCTACCACATCGACTCCGAACTTTCACCGCTCCTCCTGTGCTTTGTGTCTGTCCCGTTGCTGTGGCATCAGCGACGCCGACCTTAACAGTCTGCGACTGACCCAGGAAGTGCGTAGAGTGCCGCAGCGTACAGCACGAGGACTACCGCAGGTGCCCACATGTGCTAAGGGACGCGGAATATGAATGAATGAATGTAACAACACTACTCTGGAATAACACCATAAATCTGCGGAAAGTGTTGTGGTGGATGTAATACACGATATCACCGCGGTGTGGTACTTCTGAAATATGGTGTGTTTCAGAAAGATTCCTTAAGGCTCTCCTGGGGTACTTAGACGGCGCGTGGAGCGGCGGCATGCTGGAGGGCGGAGATGCATCTAGACCGTGGGGCCTGTCCGTCTGTCTGTGGGGCCTGTCGTGGGACCGTCTAGGGCCTGCAGTAAGGTCTAGCTATGGAGGGCGCTGAGGTGTGTCCTGCGCGAGAAGAGAAGGCGTTGCTCCTATTCCTTCTGTCAATCGCCTCTTTTTTTCTACACCGTTACCCAAGAACAGGTAACCAGGAGTGCCCCTCCCTCAATCCCAGCGACGCAGTAAACCGTACGTTAACACCAGAAAACATAAAATCAAGTCGCGGCACTCCCAGTTAGGACGATGAAACAAACTTAAAAAAACGGGCGAGGAGGTGGAGCAGACCCGAGGGAATTGTGTTACGTGAGAGGGAGGGAAAAATCATAGATGAAAAGGCTTAAAGTAGTCATTAGCCAAAATCAGCTAATGACAGCCCGCTACAACCGCCCAATAATCCACAACCACTCAATTCCCGGTGTTAGTAAGGGTTATACAGTCACAAGTCGGAGGGGGCAATTACCTGGTCATTTTTGTGCTGGGTTTTGGGCTGGATCTCCAGGGAGTCCACCCAGCTAAGCAGAGCTTGTTGCTGGGAGAACTCCCGGAGCCAGCGCCATTAATTTGGGTATATGTGCATGACTTTATATCAGAAATTGATTATGAAACATGAAGGAGGTCAAATATGAAGTGCGTTGGATATGTACAGCACAAGGATGGCAATGTCTTCAAATATGTTTGTTACGTTAATATGTGTTCACGAAATGCTTGCGGATGATGTTCTTAACGATGGTTTTCGATACAGGGATATCCGCTATTCTTGGAAAATATGGGACCATAATGTCGTTCCACAGCTTAGGGCCAAGGCAGGATGCTGTAAATAGTCTATAATTACGATAAGAGAAAGGTTGTTCTAAATGTTTTGCTCGCCTCATATCCATGTCATTGGATTCGTAGAGATTGTAAATTAAATCGAATGATGCAGGGAGCTGTGAAGTTAAAAATTTGTGCATCACAATTAACATTTGAGATTTAGCAATATCCGATAGTTTCAAAATTTTGTATCGTTTAAAGATTGGCTCTGAGCTTTGCGGAGGATACACATTTTCTATAAGACGCACAGCCCTTTTTTGCAAAATTACCAATCGATCTAGTTGAGAAGCATAATTTATGCCCCAAACCAAGCAGCAGTAATTTAGGTAAGGAAGAATCAAAGTGTTATAGAGTAGATGTGACGTTGTTTTATCAATAAAGTACCTAACCCTACTTATTCTTCCAATATTTCTACTTACTATGCTTGCAACAAAATTAGTGTGGCTTGTAAACTTAAGAGATTTGTCAATGATTACACCAAGGTATTTAATTTCTTTTTTCTCTTCAGTAGGTGAATTATTAATTTGCACATTTAGTCGGAAATGCGAAGAAAGGGTTGTGTAATGCTGTGTGAATGTTTTTGATACGTTCAGGGAGAGAAAATTAGCAGCAAACCAAGAAGTCATTAGAAGCAAAAGCGTACTGACATTGTTTTGAAGTTCGACAATACTTTTATTTTTGAAAACAATCGCAGTATCATCAGCATAAGACAGACAAATCATGTTACTGCTTAATTTAGGTAGGTCATTTATGTACATTAAAAAGAGGATTGGGCCGAGAATGGATCCTTGGGGTACCCCCATTGTTACGTTTTTGATTGTTGATAGATCATTCCTGATTTTTACACATTGAGTTCTGCCAGACAAATATGAAGAAATGATTTCATGAGATTTTCGTCGAATACCATATTTAGTAAGTTTACGTAGAAGAAGGCCAATGTTTACAGTGTCAAAGGCTTTTTTTAGATCTAAATACAAACCTAGCACATACTCCCCATTTTCAAAAGCCTTTGTAATAGTTTCCTGCAGAAGAAGAATTGGCATGTAAGTACTTTTGTTCTTCCGAAATCCGAACTGATTTTGTAAATTAGCTGGTTTTGGTTAAGATGAAGGACGAGTCTATTATATATCAGTTTTTGAAGAATTTTGGACATAAACGGCAAAATACTGATAGGTCTGTAATTATCTACAAGTTGCGAGTCCCCACTTTTAAAGATGGGTTTAATCACGGCCCTTTTGAAAGTGCTTGGAAATATCCCCGAGGACAAACAGCTGTTGAAAAGATGGAGAATTGGTTTGAGTATAACCTTATAAGATAACTTGAATATTTTTGAATTAATATTGTCGACTCCAGCTCCGACGTTGTTTAGCCCATCGATGAGAAGAATTAATTCCTGTTCATTAGTGGGGGGCAGATCCATTTCATTTTCGACATTTGTGATGAGCTGGAGGGGGTCTAAAGATGATTTAGGCATCTCGTCTTTTAACTGTTGTCCAATCTCGCTGAAGAAGAGATATGGCTTCTATATGAAGCCATATGGCCATAAGAGATATGGCCCTATCATGGCTTCTTCGCCTTAAAGTGCTCAGCAAAAAAGTAATAGACCAGAGCCCCGACGAGAGCCCAGGAGCTAGTAAAGAGGCTTGTTTAGTGAACGAAGAAGCCATGATACCAGGTGGGTTTCGCATGCTAAGAGTGCGGCCATGAACCTGGATTGACACAGTGCCCCCTCCCCTCCGTCCCTCCCTGTGGTGCAGAGTGGACCACCGACACTCCAACGGCACAACGTTGCCGGGGCCGGGATAATATCGTGACTTTCACATAGGAACACGATGCCCTCAAGCCATTCTCCATCCTGACGTCCTAGACATGGCGAATGACAAGACCTGTGTAACTCGGCTTTCCAAGCTCTGGCAGGTGTACGATACAGTGGTTCGAAAGATTCTTAACACGGAGACCCTAGGATCCCGACCCAAAGTGTCTTATTGAATAAGCGTTTAGCTCGGAAGACATCGACATCGACATCCTGCATCCTGACGAAAGACTGATGGCGCCGAAGATGGAGAAAAACATCGCTCACATCTTCTCGTCCTTTCCTCAGCAAGCCATGACACGAAGTAGCTCGAACCTCGAAAAGCTTGTTGACCACTTTGCTCTGCGCTCGCGGCATCTTAGGGACTACCGGGTCTACTCCCACCTCGACCTGGAACAGTGGAACTATACCTTCCGAGAGCCCGTGCTGATTGACTTCCAAAATAAACCTGGCGACTTCCAAGGGGTCACCCAACACCGGTGTTCGATGCGGTACTTCCCCGAGGCCACGTTCGCCAACGCGGACGGCTTCTGAGCACCAGGTCTCTTCGATAATTGGCAGTCCTGGGATCAGAACCCCGGAGGAAACCAAGAAATATGTCAAAAGATGTGGACCCCGCACCAATGCCACTCATCTGAAAGGTGTTCTTCCGTCTCGGAGTGGATCATGAGCTCATAGGAGCTCATAGGAGCAGTATGGCATGTTTGAGGAGGGCACTGACGTGTGCGTGGTACGAGATAAGGAGCAGACGTCCCTCCTGTTCATACTGTCTCACTGACTTTTCGCCCAAAAGTGCTGAAAAAAAAATCGACAAGAGTCCCGAAGAGAGCTCAGGAGCTGACAAAAAAGTTTGTTTAGTGGACGAAGCAACTGAAATACCAGGTGCGTTTGCCCGCGTTAAGAGTGCGGTAATGAATATGAATTGACGCTGTGCCCCCTCCCCTTCCCAGTGGTGGCAGAGCGGACCACCGACACTCCAACGGCACGCCGGCGCCGGGACCTGGCTAATATCATGGCCCAGAGGTCCGGCGTTCGTGGTGCCGCCCTGAGCTTACACGGGAACCAGATGCCTTCAACCAATTCTCCATCCTGACGTCCTAGACATAGTGATAACATTTACTGTGCAAATTGCCTTCCCAAGCTCTGGCACGTGTACAATACAGCGGCTCCAAAGGTGCTCGACACGGAGACCTCAGGATCCAGACACAAAATGTCTTATGGAATACGCATCTGGCCAGGAAGACATCGACATCAACTGCCTTATCCAGTGGGCCGGCGAGTAGGCTCTCTGCCCAAACAGACAACCTAAACCCGATGGAAGGGAAGTAAGTGGAGAATAAGGGCATGCGGGTGTACTGCATCCTGCACTCCGACGCAGGACAGATGGCGCCGAAACTGGAGAAAAACATCGCTCACATCTTCTCGTCTTCCCCCAGCAGACCATGACACGAAGTGGCTCGGACATCGAGAAGCTTGTTGGCCATATTGTTCTACGCTCGCAGCATCTTGGGGACCACCGGGTGTACTTCCACCTCGACCTGGAACAATGGAACTACACCTTTCGAGAGCCCGTGCCGACTGACCTGAAGAAACCTGGAGACTTCCAAGGGGTCACCCAACACCGGTGTTCGATGCGGTACTTCCCGGAGGCCAAGTTCGCCAACGCGGACGGCTCCTGTGCACCAGGTCTTTTCGAGGATTGCCAGTCTCGGGATCAGTACCCCGGGAGAAATCAGGAGATACGTCAAAATAGGTGGACTCCGCACCAATGCCGCTCCTCTGAGAAGTGCTCCTCCACCTCGGACTGGACCACGAGTCCATGGGAGCAGGGGACAACCAAGTCCTCGACGTGCAGGTGCTAATCAATTCCAAGGTGTGGTGGCTTAGAGGTTATTGTTATCAATTAGATGTCCCATGTTTTCTCAACGCCGTTCCGCTAAGCATTCTTAAGGCTATTTGAGCAAGGGATATCAGGGTGAATGGCGACGGCGAAATGGGTAAAGTTACACTGTTGTAGTGCATTTTTGGGTCACTTCAAGGGGATCAAAAAAGCAAAATATTTACCCAACAAAAGCTTTTTCTTCGTTCTTTTTGTTTCATGCTTTTCCCTCTCATTTTGCATCCGTGTGTAAGGTGAACATGACATCAAATGAAGTGGGAAGCCATTGAAAGCTCTTTTGATCGGCACTGCTACGCCGGAGCGGGTGCGAGCGGTGGCCGGCATTGGTACTCGCTCGTGAAACGATACAAGGGGATCAAAGACAGCAAGAGCCGCAGTGGCGCTGGTGTGGTACGCTGGCCATGGTTTGAGGAAATGGACTCTGCGCTGGCGGCAGATGTCGCTGTAACGCCTGAACAAAGTGTGGCGACGAGCCCTGTGAAAAGTAGAGTACTGTAACCGCCGTCTTGGGATCTATCGCCCGCCGACGCCTGTCTGAGAGACGTAGACGATGACTGTCTTCGGCCGCAACCCCAGCAAAAAAAAAACAACAAGAAAAAACAAACAAACAAAAAGGAGAAGCGATGCTGGCGGCTCGCAGCCAACTGCCGCACGCGCTCTCACGGACGTTGTCAACCTGATGCGGGAACAAGAGTGGGTAACAGACGAGTGCCGGCGTGAAAATTTATATATCAACCTGCTGGGCGAGCGGCACCAAAAGCCTCCTTTTCCAGCTTTCCAGCCTTCAGTGTTTTATTTGTATCACAGGAATGAGCATCTTCTGGCAGCCGTAGCGGTCTGTGAAAAGTGCGGCGCAGGTATGGCGGAGGGTCACAGACAGAGGGCAGTGGATGGCGTTGTGTGGCGCTGCATGGAACGGCGCTACCGAATGACCGCAAGTATCAGGAAAGAATCGTTCTTTGAAGGGTCACACATAGAACGCCAGCTTGTCTTGCTAGTATGCTTTTCCTCCCAGGGAATGGCAGCTCACCAGGTCGCGAAGGAAGATGAGGTGCCACTTTAGGCCGTGGTGGATTGGAGTAACTTTCTCAGCGACGTGGGGCATAGTTTTAAAAACTTCACTAACATTAAGTTGCCATATGTCATGCTCTACTTCATCAACAAATAAGAGAACATTCACATCGTTAATTCAATTCATCGCAACATAGCCAGAGCCAAGCGAAGTTTTATTAAGCATATACCCAAATACTGCTTTTGTTCCAGGGCTATCTTTAGACAACGTTGCATGTATGGAGAAAGCGGCCTGTTGTACACTGGGGCTTTTTTTATTGAGTGTGTCGCTGAAATATCTTATCTCGCCTTCTTATTGTTACAACAGCCGACCATACATGATTGAGCGGGTGGATTTTATCACGGTATTATCAGCCGATCGTTCAAAGATATGCGCACCGTTGGTTCTGAGCAGACATAATCCGGGCACTGTTTGTTTCTGTTCTGTCTGCCGACATGCTCCGGCACCCGGCCCGTCCGGGCGGACCAGATGGGTTCGTCCAGATCGACGAAACGCTGGTAGCCAGGGCCAAGCGCACAAGGAATCATCGGGCCCGGCCTGTGTCCGAAGTCTGGGTATTCGGAATGGTGGATTCCGCCGGAGAGCCCCACCTCCAGGTTGTCCCTGATCGAACTACCCAAACGCTGCCGCCAGTCGTGCAGCAGCACGTCGTGCCCGGCAGCATGGTACGATATGAACATATTTCATCATTATGATCCCCCAACATGCTGTAATTTACACCAATCATGCCTTATCCTTCCGTACAATAGCAAACGCTATGAGCTTGATTTTTTAGACCTTTTCATTTCTGGTTTCAATTTGTTCAATAATAATCGTTTCCTGAGTACGTAATCATCACTTATTTGTAAGGCCACCACAGACCTACGATTTTTTCGTCATTTGTTTTTCCCGTGCGGTAGATGATGTCTGAAAACGCCCGCATATGAAGTTATCTGATGAACTGGGTCAAAGCAACGCAAATGGGGGGTCATGATTTAAGCATCCTGCTTTGCTTACAAAACACTGTGAGCATCTCGACACCCGCGCAGACCACTGAAAACGTAAAGAACAAGGCAAAATATCTCCTTTCAGATTTGTTCAGACGGGTGGGCCGCCCATAAACAACGGCGCCCTGCAGGCGGCCGGATGCCGTCACCAAGCGGCGAACCACCGCATCCAGTTTGTGCGCTCGGATGGTAGGTATTAACAGGTCCCAGTCCAACGATCTGATTCCGTTTCGGAACCTGAGCTTTAGGTCTCAAGTTTCAGTCCCGATTCCCAAGTGAATTCTGTCGTGGCCCACCAGCCAGAGCCAATTTTTTTTTCTCACAAATCATAAGACCAAGTCTGAGTCCAAGTTCCTAAAGACGTCTTTAGGCGGCGCTGCCGCACGCCGCAACTTAAACTAATAGATTATGTTACACGATCGAGAAAGACTACTGAGAGGACAAAGTAAAATAAGACGTGGAATTCACCATTAATAATAACAACAACTCTATCTACAATCAACACGAATTAAGAGATCATTACAAGGACGGAAAATTGCACACCTGAAACATTTGACACACGTTCAAGATATGGTGCAAACGACTTCATATACAAACATAACGCGGCAAATACAGACAAGGTCACAGGACTTGATTAAAGCGCTGCCGTGGGTTGACCGCCAAGTAGCACCTAGGTCATAGTGCTATGGAAAGTCAGAATTGGCACATATTTGGTTGCTACACAATATACCTTGTGTTGTTCAGTCTTTGTTTAAGAGATTGAACACCGTTAAGGTGAATTTGTTTTGTCATGGTTCAAGTGGTTTCATCTCCTAGTGCTCTGTTTTGTAGCACGTTAACTTTGTCATACGATATTCGATCGCTAAGTCATCAATTTTTCAGCCGGTAACTTGGTTCATATTTCTGGGTGTTAACACGAACACCACAGAAACCACGTGGCCAGCCATGGAGGCCCGGCTTAAATCCATGAGAGGCACAACCATCGCACTTCTGCCAAGCTACATAGATGATTTCATGTAAACTCGGCGGCATCACGGAATGGTAAGAATTTTGTTGCTCTATGACAGATAAAGGCACAAGAAGACGAAGACAAACATGCCCGGTTGCACTACGGCTGTTGAGGCTCAACTACTTTAAATAGCTGACACTGCATGTAACGAAGTTATTTCAAGCGTGCTTGCGCCCGTGTGCAACCGTGCACATCTGCACTGGGCGAGGAATTACACTGCCCTGTGAAGTCGTCACTTATTCGTCAAATGCTGCCTTTATCGCTAAACTAATTGTAACATCGTCATCGCCTTCTCATCAACAGGAGTTCCGAGAGCTGCTGCGCAGTGCGCGTGAGCAGTACCCGCTGTAGACAGACCCCGCCGGGCGCTCTCATCATGCTCCTCTCAACAAGGCCTCATGTAAAGCGCGTTGTCGACTGGCGCTGCCAGCCGGAAGTAAAATAGTGCTACCGTTTTTCGACTGTCTTATTTCATTTGTGTCCAGTAACAAATGTGTTTTTTTTCGCGCATAAACCTCATCCTGCATTGCGGTTAACGCATATAGCCAGATACAAGCGTTCTTTTAC